GTGTGTGTGTGTGTGTGTGTGTGTGTGTGTGTGTGTGTGTGTGTGTGGTGGGGGGTCACTCAGCTGCAGCAACCCTATGAAAACCCTTCTGACCCATTTTTCCCGCGCCCGTGGTTTGTGTGAACTGTCTGAAAGCCAGTTTGAACGGTGGCACGCCGGCTGCATGGAGTGGATCTGCAGCGCATTGTTCAGGGTTRCTGTGGTAACGAGCTGAGCGTCCGGCTGCACAAGTTTTTGTCTCAGCTCTGAATAGACGTGGGGGTTGATGGGTATTAAGAAGCATGTAGAGAGCCCTGGCACTTTGCTCGGATGTTTTAAAGGAAAACACAGTCGGGTGGGAGGGCTCCCTGCTCCCACAAAAACAAGGGTGGGAGGGCTCCCTGCTCCCACAAAAACAAGAGTGGGAATGAAAAACTGCCTGAAAAATGCAGAACTGCTACCTTTAATAAGAAAGGCCCAACATTCCCTGAAGGAACGCATGTGACTCAGCGCCTTTCATGCCACAAAGACTGTCTTATAATGAGAAGGGACGGAGGTGGAGTTGTTTTGGTCTCTCACATTATCTGTTAGCCTGCAGAGGATGATTCTCACAGAATACCAAGCTGTCCCACAACATCTGCTCAACCTGGACTTACAGCTGTTTGTGTGGCAGCATCTAGAACTGAGTTCATTCCAAAGTTAATAAAGAGTAACGTTGCATTAAAATCTGTCCTCTGCTCAGTCAGATGTTTAGCTAACAGAAACAYAAYAAGATGTTTTAGAAAGAGGCCTCTTACTGCTCAGTGCTGTCATGTCCAGGTGAGCCACACAGAGCAGACAGGTGTGTTTGTCACATCAGTGAACCAGACGCTGACTCCAAACTCACGGGCCGGGTCCTCCGAAGGACGAATATGTTAGCAGCTTACRTCACAGTGCCGTGCCGGAGGCTGTCCAAATCCAAAGACTCCTCCGATGCATCCGACAAATACGTCCTTCTTTTGCCCCGATCTGAGGGACAGGTTCGATGGATCCTTCTCGGCCCACCATATCCCATAATGCATTGAGAGCCAACCAGAGATTGTTTTTGCTCGTAATGTTGGACGAAGCGCAAGAAAGGATTGGTTTTAAATAAAAATCTGGTGTTTCAAGCAGTTGTGTTGTTAATACTTTTATCATTTGTATAAACATGTCTTTAATATTATTCTTGTCAGAAATCAAACGAGCTGGTATAACAAAATAAACATGCACCTACGACAGCTCCATTACTTATTCAAATATTGCCTATAAGATAATTTTGTTGACTTATGATATTAATAAAACTAATATATTAATATTTTGCTAATTTCAATCTATTTTTGCTTCTGTTAACGTCATCATGTCACTAGGTGACAAGACGTGCGCTGGGGTAAGGGTGGGACTAAAACAGAAGACTAGACCGTCCAAATTCACAAACACTTTTTTCTGGTCTTCCCGTTTGACCAAAAGGACCCGGCCCACTTAGACCAGAGGTCCTTCGAAGGACCCASTCCCTGAATTTGGACACAGCCTGTGACTGAACTGACAGGAGCTGAAAACCAGTGACTCAAAACAATGGTGATAAAGTTTCTCTGGTGTCGGCTCATAAAACTATGTCTRCCAAAAAAAGAAAACGAAGTCTGAAGAACCGAATGAAGCAGCAGAATCAGACCTCTTTCTTCATAAGATGGAGAATTCAATCTGGCTTTATTGAAAAATAACTTTGTAATGAACAAAGCCCATGTTTTAGCTCCAATCTAGACCCAGAGCCATGTGAGCACTCCCACAGGAAACACAAACATGTCCGTCTCAGCCTCTGACTCAGTCAGGGAGGATTTGGACATTTTTTCATATAAAGCAGAGCCCCACCTGCTGTGGAGCCTCCGGAGCACAAAGCTGAGCCCTGGAGCTGCCAGTCTCACATGGTGATTCAATAAAATTCCCCAGAGCTCAATATGCGCGTCAGCCGGCTGGGCTGGGGTGGGGCTGGTGGGGGTGGGGTGGGGCGGGGCTTCATGGCGTTGTTGGGCCCTCGGCAGGACTCTGTGTTGACTTTGTGCTGTGACTCTGAGTAAACACGTTCACTCCTGATCTTTACAGACGCACAGGCTGGAACCTCATCTGACTGCTTATCAAATCATGAGGAGAAACTTTGATTAAAATAAAAACCAGCTTTTCTTAATGGGATGCAGATCACTCACTGCCTTCATGCTCGTTTTATCTGACACCATCATATGACGAAGAACGATGAAGTTATAAAATAACATGTCACATGAAGTTGCTGACAGTGATGTAAAGAGGAATGGGTCGGTAGGACATACTGACACCAAATTCAAAACTTATTAACTTTTATTTCAAATCAGAACTGTAAATATTATCACTACAGCTGCGGCAGTATTTGTATAATTTGCTGATTACATTTCATCACTTCACTTCAGGATTCAGCTGTTTTCTGAACATTAAACAGATTTTACACTCATTTCTGACCAGCACTTCTGTTTATAGTTTTTCTTTCTTTAAATGCATGATGCTGATCAAAACTAAACTTTCATTTAATCACATGTATTGTGATTATGTTTCTGAGTTCAACAGCAGTAAGTCAGAGGGTTGTTTTACTAAATTCATAATTAATGATGAACAGCTTGTTTAATTATRGGACGTTCTTCACATAAATAAGTTCTGTTCATTAAACGATGGAGTTCTCACTTTAAGAAACTTCTGTTTGTAATTTTATGTGCTTCTCTTTAATGAAAATAACAAAAAGATCTTGTCAGGTTGTAATGCAGGAATGAATCCAAATCCGGACGGAAGATGAGATTTTTAAATAAAAAGATTTGTTAAACAAACAAAACAAAAGAGCTGTCAGGGCAGCTAAAACAAACGTGAAACTCAAAAGGACACAAGGGACAAAGAGACAGTAGGAGAGTTCCATGTAAAGATCCAGTGAGGGTGTGGAGTAACTGACCAGTATTTAAACTAACAGAGGGGATGAGGAAATATGAACACCTGGTGGCAGGACTGATTGGAGATGACTGAACAGGTGAGGATGATTAACTGAGAATTGACTAAGAATTAAGCTGAGGAAACTGAAGGGTGGAAACACAGGGAAAAACACAAAAACAACAAAAACACACACATACTCACCGATCAGTTTATTATTTTATTATTACATATAAACAATCCAAGTGGCAGACTAAACACAACACTTGTTTTTATTTGTAATTGTAAAATAACTGCACCGACTGTGCAGAAAAGTTCTTCTCTGTTTTTCTCTTTGTAAGTCATTGCTGAGTCTGACGAGCTAACGTTAGCTGAACACCACTGTACTGCACCACCTGCTAACTGCACTGCAAACACCTGGCACAAGTGGCACAATGCTGAGGTGCATAGATACCAAAGTTTGTACTCATGTGAGAGGAGCACTACTTCATAATAAAATGCTCAAGTGAAAGTAAAAAGTACTGTGTAGTAA